GAGCTGCCTTGGCTGTTTGCACAGTTGCTCCCCTGTTCGTTCCATCCTCGTTACACGCTATGGCGATTTGTGGCCGTGTTCTTACTATTGTGTCTCCGTTTGGGGCGTCGCATCCATTATCCACCATGTATTGCATCAATGCTGTAGGAAAATCTCTTCTGCATGGAAGTTCTTCCAAGATCATTCTTGCTTTGACAGGCATGTCATTTGTGGTGTTCAAAGTCGAATCGTCTAGCGAGAACCACTCCAAAGACAAAATTGTTGTGTCTCTAGAAGCGATGACGTTCTTGCCTGTTGCCTCTGCTTGAGCAACACATGACCAATTCTCCGTGTCCCTTTTCCTATGACGACGAAGAGTTCCGGTCTCATTCACCAATGCGATTGATCGCCTTACATGGTTGACCATCTGATTCGCGGCTTTGCGACGATTCAAAAACAAGTATGGCTCCTTGCAAAAAAATTTATGGTGGTGCTCCCACACGTCAGCTGCAAACGTATCTGGGAGCCCCGACCTTTCAATGCAGCCGCGAAGCTTGTTCAGATCGTGCATTTTTGGAATCTTCCGCCGAGATTTTTGCTCGTACCACATAGATTTCTTGATTGCGTGCGCAAAATCACAAAGCTAATCATCACATCGATCAAGACTCTCACTTGTGTGTGATGTTGCTCTGAAAAGTGCGATGTACAGTTCAAGAAGGATACGAAAGGTCAGTGTCAAATTTTTCCCTGCCCTTCCATTCACAATGTTCTTCACAATAAATACAGAAATGGTCATCACTGACCGATTCTGCTTTGCCTCAAATCTACCCTCTCTTGAGAAATAATCACAACCGGTCGACACGGGCAATACTAGCTTCTGGTAAGTTCGCATACGTCGCTTGCTGATGACCTGCAATCTAGAATCTAGCTCTTTCAATATATCGCTGTAAGCTACTCCAGAAAGTCTACCTCTAGCAGAGGCTCGAAAGGCATCAACCATATGCACAAATATCCCATGATCAATGGTGTGCATCCTGTGTAACCGGTTGAACGCGCGGAACGCGTGTTCACGTTCAAACGCGCGCATTCATACCCCGCGGGGCCGCGTTCAATCGCGTTCAAATGCGCTGCGCGCCGCGTGGCGCGAAAAAAATGAACGCGACCCCGCGCGCACGTTGCGGACTACGGGGTGGTGGGCCTCGTTCAACAAACCCCGTAAGTGCAAAAAAAAGC